ATTTGGGAACAAAAAAGGATCAGATATTAAAATTTAGAAAAACAGTATTAAAAAATTACAATTGTACCAAAACGGCAACGCTGATCGTGATGGAAAACGTAGTTAACATCTTGTCGTCATAGCGACGATGGAATTAACATCGTCAGCCGAGTGAAAATACTGCTAAAGTAACAAAGGCAGCGCCGCTTGTGATACCCTTGCTTGCCTCACCGCTCGTGCCATAAATTCAAATTGGTTGGATAGTCGACATGCGTCTTCTGTATACTGTTTATTCTGTGATAGAATACAAGATTGCGCCGATCAGAGAGGATTTTTGAGAATAACTTTTGTGTGACGTCACACTGGTGCAATTGCGAGAGAGAAATGCCAAAACGTGAGCAAGAATGGAAGAAGAAGAAAAAATGTTGCAAGGAAAACGTAAACAAGTTGCACAAGTGTGACGTCATGCAAACAACGATTCTGTCAAGTTCGTTAAGAGAGGAATAGCGGTCCGAGATCGGCGCAACCTTTGTATTCTCTCAATCGTGCCTGTACATCATTGATATTTTGATTTCCGCTCATTTTACTTTTGTTTATGTGTAACCAATTTAACAAATGCGGCTTTCGACATTTATTCTTGTTCTTCTTCTGCTAATTAAAATTTCTGCTATTAAAAATTTTCTCTAGCAAGAATTTCAGCTCTCCCGTGTTATAACGCTCTCGATTCAGTGCTCTATTGCCAATTTTTTGGGCATTATACACTTTTCCAGTAAAAATTTGCAGGTTCCAGTACAAATTAGTACTGACTATTTGTTAAGTTACACACCTTTCGTTACCACAATTTCTCATAGTCTCTTCATAGTTGAAGAATATTTTAACCAACGTACCTAGAATCGCGGTGACAAAAACTGCTAACATTTTTTGGTAATAAAATTTTTCGGTTACAAAATCTCCGGTAACGTGCAGAGTAGACCTGTAAGGTCCAGTTTCTCAATGTCCGGTTAACACTAACTGCAAGTTAAACTTCGTTATCCACGTGATCGACTCCATAACTTATAGCAGAGAGTTGATAACGTCGATAACGATGTTTAACAAGTAGTTAGTGTAAACCAGACATTGAGAACCTGACCCTAAGGGCCGGTTTCTCCATCTCTGGTGCATTGGGGGAAGGTTGCTGATTTTTTATTTACAAATCTTAAAATTTCAAGGAAAATACGTTTTCTTTTATTTCTGAAACTTATTTCCGAAATGTGACAGAAAGGTCTTCTTCACATTCTTCCATCATGTTCACACACCGAAATAAAATTTCTCTTTCTCAATTTGACAGCGAATTGTGTGGAAAATTTGGAAATATTCAGCCTCATTGCGTAAGTCGTAAATTAGGCTGAATTGTACAACTCGACAACATTAGCATTAGGTGTGTACTCGTATTGAGAGGACAAAATTCTCCAGCAGAAAAAGTTCTGAGAATTTAGCAGCATTCGCTCTCAAAGAGACGAAATATCAACAGAAGTACGAGAACACAAAATTTGCAAAAACTTGCAACCTTCGAAACAGCTGATCACTTGCACAGTTGCCACTGGTGATTAATTTGGCAATTTATTTTCTGCTTGGTACATTTTCCCCCGATTTGGCATTTTATACAATTGAATAGTTTTGGTTAAGAAAACCCTTTTTAAAATACGAATTAATTATACCGGAATGAATAAGTTATTTTTCTCATAATTATTTCTGATATCACATAGTGACGCATTAAAAACAAGAGTATTTCCTCCAAACACCCATCTTTGATCCAAAATAATGTAATAGAGTAGGTTAAAAATTATAAAATTTTCATTTCAACAATCAACCTACCAAAACCGAAAACTTCAGCAAAACAACATTTCAGCATGCTGCATTTAAATCTATTTTGGTATATTTAAAGGAAATTTGTGGTACAAACGAAAAATGTCATACGGCAACCATAGTCAGCACGCACTAAAGTAAACAAACTGGAGATTAATAGCAAATTAACGAAAAATAAATTCAACAAACGTTGTGCTTATTAAATTTACGCACTTTTTAGTTATATACTAGCATTAATAATAAAATGTGCAATAAATAACTCAAAAAGGCCATATTAGGTTCATTCCTTATCTTTTTGGACTAAAATCTGAAAAGTGTCAAAATGCCAGAGCGTAAGCAAAATGCGCTCACTAAAAGAGAATAACAGGAAAAGTAAAGGAACGCAAAAAACCAAATTTTTAGCCCAAAGAATGGCAACAACAAAACTAACGTCAAATAAGAACAGAAATGTACGTACAAAACACATTCACACAAGCACAAGCACAATAAACACTTGCTATATCAATTATTTTTTGCCTTCTTTCAATTTCAATTCATTTCTTTTACTTTTTAGATTATTCTCACTTTTAGCGTATTCTTTAATTTCCGTTAATTTAAATTCAGTTGAGTTTGACACTTTTCAGGATTTTGCCAGAAAAAATTCTTCTGACTAAATCTGACTACTTCGGACTGATGAAAGTCACTCTCACTGACTGTTGCTCTCTCATTTTTGCTGTCATTTCCGAGTTAAGGAACGCTTTTTGGACTAAATCTGACTACTTCGGACTTTTTCTGACTATTTCTGGGAGATAAGGAACGCTCCTATTTTCTTTTGTTTATTTACAAACATGTGTTTGTGATCAGCTGATTTTCTTACTTGCAAGTTTTCGCTAGGTAAAATTTTTCCAGCAGAAATTTGCAGCTCTCACATTTTGCTCTCTCAATTTCCCCTACTTTGCAAGTTTTTGGGGTACGAGAACGCAAAACCAGTAAAAGTTTTCTAAAACTTTAGATAGTTAGGCGTAAGAGTACACACCTATTGTCTACTGTCGTGCTGAAATAAGTAAACGACGAAAATTGTCGAAAACTATGCAGTGCTGCCAAGCTCTTCCGTTTTAATACACTAGTCGAGTGGAAATTTTAGGCAATGACGCTAAATTTTCGACACGATTCGACTCTCGAAAAACGACTTGCATTCGGCACGACTCTCGCAATGAGGCTGATTGTCACATCTGATACGCTCTTAAGAAAGCCTTGCATATTCGGATATCTGTTCGGATATTCGTCCATACGAATAAAATCCGGATTATCCGGTTAGATAATATCCGTAAATTTTGCTATCCGAATATTCGGTTAATATATGTAAGTCCATTTAGTCATCCGGGTGTTCCAATTTTTTATCAGATATTCGAATATCTCTTTTAAAAATATTAAAAATGTTGACGAAACACTGAAGACAAAGGAATCATCTTTGAAAAACAACAGTGAATGGACCTTCTTTGGCCCTCGTAATCACATCGACCTGTATATAATATTTTCTCTCTATTCAAACAAACTGTCTGATTTACGCAGATCACTTAGTCTAAACGCGTAAATGCTTCGTAAGCTCGTGAACCTTGTAAACTTACTCGACTTTGTACGAAAACCCGTTTTATTTACACTTTACACAGTTACGATTTTTCTTGCATATATCTGCTAACAAATTCCTGAGATTATTTCGGCTAGGACATGTAATTTCACTACATTAATTGGGAGGCGAATCAAACAAGATGAGAAAATTCGAAAATTCTACAAGTCGAATCGGTATTGGATGTTAATAGTAAATTTAAAGAGCTAAATCATTTTCGTACGTGTTGAAAATTGAAATATAACACTCGCAAGAGCGAAAAATATGTAACAATTTGAATAATAGTATATATGTACATAACAATTATAAAAGATTTGATGTTTTTCTCACTTACCTTGTTTTCATCATTATCACACTGTAAAGAGAAAAACGGGAGTTAGCACAGTATTTCATAGTGTATTTAAAATGAAATACTTACGATATTATGCCCCGTCGCAGTACTTTTGCATGTGACGCCCGCCTGAAAGTAGAAATTCACAAGTATACATCAAATAATTTTATTAACAAAAAGATTATTTGAAAACATTGGTTTTAAGCTTATATTGGGTGTTCTTTTAAGCCAGCAAAGCTTAAGATATGAATGCTAAACTAGATTACGAAACTTGTCAGTTTTTTGCAAATGAAGCTCACAAAGCAAGTGAAGATTCAAATTTTAATAATTATTTGGTTCATGAAGGTATGTCCGTATGTGTGACCGTATCCAAATTTTTAATATGTAATTTATTTCTATAAAAAATTACGGAATAGGTTCAAGTTTTCGGTTTTGCGTAAATTTCTCGATTCAATTAAGCTAGATAGCTGTTTTGGTGTTCACAAATCGGGCCAAATTTTTCAATTTCAACTTTTGCACTCAAGTTGAACTGAAATTTTATCTGAAGATTATTGGAATACCGAAGAGGACTTTATTAATGTGGTATTTATTTTTCCCGACTCTTGCATCAAAAATAACTTCCAAGCTTCCATTGTGCAGAT